CAGACTGTGGGGCCGATATGCTGACTCTGTAAACTGCTTAGAGAGGGCTGAAAGCCCTATGAAGCGGTATATAAGTCTAACTGCTATTGCTAACTGCTATGCACAGTGAAATTAAAATTGTTCTGTGCATGTGCAGAACTGAAAAACAAGGTGGCAGCATTGATGGTGGCACCTGAGAAACTGGCTCGGCATGGCAGACCTGGGTCGCTGCCGGTTCCAGTGACCAAGGCCGCTAAACCACTACCGGTTCAGGTGAACTTGTCTGAACCGGTAGGAACCCACCACTGATCTGCACACTCTATTTTGCTATGCCATGAAAACAGGCTAGCTTTAATCATGCCATCTATCAAAACGTGACATCTTCTATCACTGCCCATTCTTATATCACTGTTTTGTTTCCTTAAACAAAACATTTGAGGAAGTAATGTGGTAGCCTTTATCCAATTACTTTGCTTAACATGTTAGGTTCAGTTGAAATAAGGATACCAGCATTCGTCTGCAAATTGGAACAGAATTAATAGTGCAGATTAGGGATTGGCAATGGGCATTGTATAGACCCGTGATGGTGACCTATGGCACGCATGCCACAAGTGGCATGCAGAGCCGTTTGTTAGGGCACCTGAGGGACTGCCATGTCTGCTGGCCAGTGCTTCCTTGAAGTATCAGGAGCATGAAAAACCATCCCTACAGGCAAACCTGAAGTTCGGGGATAGACTTCCGGTTTGGCCATAGGGCCATTTTTCAACCTCCAGAGCCTTCAGGGGCCTTCAGGAGGCTTCCTTAAAGCTTCAGGAGCGTGAAAAACAGTCACTATTGGTTTGCTCGTAGGGCCGATTTCTGCCCTCCGGAGCCTTCAGGGAATCCTCCTGAAGGTTCTGGCGGGTGAAAAATGGCCCTAGGGACAAACCGGAAGTAACCATTCCCAAACCTCCATGTTCCCTGTAGCTTTTAGGGGCCTTTAGGAGGTTTCCCTGAAGTCTCCAGAGGGCAAAAACCGGCCCTACGAGCAGACCGGAAGTGACTTCCAGTTTGCCTGTAGGTCCATTTTTTGCCTTCTGGAGCCTTCAGGGAAGCCTCCTGAAAGCTCTGGAGATCATCCCTATGGACAAACCGGAAGTCACCATTCATGAACTTCCAGATTCCCCACAGGTCCATTTTTTGCCCTCTGGAGCCTTCGGGGAAGCTCCAGAGGCCTCCGGAGGGCATGGGGGGGTGGAGGGGCTGTTTTCACCCTCCACAGGCTTCTAGAAAGCCCCTGGAGCCTGGGGAGGTTGAAAAAACCATGCCAAAAGTGTATGGGGGTGTTTGCTGGTCGCGCACGATGGGGGAATGTCATGCATATAGCATTATGGGTATGGCACACCTGTGCACTACCCCACTGCTCTCCCCCTGCTTTTGGCACGGGAGCTAAAAAAGGTTCACCATCACTGGTATAGACTGTTTTATGGTATAGTTTCCCAGCCATTCAAGCATCTATGGGTTACACTTTAAATTGACCATGGGGAAAGGCATAAGAGCAAAGATAGTTCCTATATTAACCTGTCAACATATTACAATCTTTGTCATATAATCCAAAATGGAAAAACACAATATCCTTCTTGTCCTCTGAGACAAAAGACCTATTACAAACTTTGAGTAAAAATGAAATTTGATTGCCTGTACTTCAAATCATGCTTATGTAGGCAGTGAAAAATTGTTTTAACACTGCTGTGGTTTTTTTATTTATTCATTTTTGGTTTTCAATTGAATATTTTTAATTCTTATCATCTTGGTTTCAAAATTAACTATTTGGATGATTTCCTAAACCTTGGGCTGGTGTGGTACTTAAGGGCAACAGAACTAAATGGAGAAAATTGTTATAAATATATAGGAATTGATTTAGCATAGTTCTTACAAGTTCATCTAGCAAGCTACAATCTCATATTGTTATACTTTGTGTGTCGGGGGGAGGATGTAGTAAATGCCAATGAGAGTAGAGCATTCATAAATAGGCTGTATAGAATTTAATTTTTCAAATATGTGGCATGTAATTACATACATTTACAAAAAGGTGGATATGGCACACATCTGCATTGTATCTTCCAGTGATGCCTCCACAAGCCTCCGTGATGCTCCAGCTGCTCAGCGGAGCATCTCACATGCGCATGCACGGAAGCGCCAAATGCTTTAAATGACAGGTAAGGAGCTTGGGTGGGCGGATGGGCCCTCCAGAGCACTGTACCGAAACGGTACCTGGTGCTCTACGCAGGTTCCAATATACCCATACCGGGGCATACCGCCTGCAACCCACCATTGTAATATCTAGAATCTGATTAGAAGGGTTACATCATTACATCTTTCAATGCCAAATAACAGCAAGGGCAAAGGAATGACATTTACATCTTTCATTTGAATCTCTGCTGGAGAGGAAATGCTTAACTGAGTGAACTTTGTTCCAAAACTCAAGAAGGCAGTTTTTAAACCACCTCTTTTCTCCTCCAATCCTGAATCCTTTGAGGAAACACCCCACCAGAAGCTAGATTTTTTTAAAAAAAGAATGCCAATGTAATTGTGACATTGTCATTCCTCCAGGTTGCCAAAATTTAAGCCACCTTTGACCCTTCTGCTCCTTAAAGCTCCATAAATAGCCTCAGCAAAGAACTGCTCAGTCCCACTTGACCTGACTTAGAGACTCCTGCCTCTTGAACTGATTGCTCTGAGTTTCAACCATGAAGGCTCTTCTCCTCCTTGTTGCCATCTTCATGTTTTCCAACCAGGCAGTCACAGGTAAGAACTAAAATGACCCAGATGGTCTAGAGGAGAAATATACTTGAGATTCATTTCAAATGCTTTTCACAAGGAATTTTTACTTATTTTATTTTTAGTACTGACACCAATCAAAGAGCGTTAAGGGTATTTCAATCTGCAAAGTTCAGAGGGGTGTTCCCACCCCATTTTTTCAACAAGAAATGTGTCAGGGGGATCATATCTACCTGTCTTCTATAATAATACTATGCCTTGTCTTAGGAGTTTGCCATTTCCTAAAAAAATCCTTTTTCTTTTTCTCCCATCATATCTAAAAGAGATATTGTTGGAAAGACAATAAATAAGATAAAATAATATCTTGAGCCATGGTGGCACAGTGGTTAGAGTGCTGTACTGCAGGCTACTTCTGCTCACTGCCGGCTGCCTGCAATTTGGCAGTCCAAAGCTCAACAGGCTTAAGGAAGACTCAGTTTCCATCCTTTTGAAGTGAGTAAAATGAGGACCCAGTTTGTTGGTGGCAATATGCTGACTCTGTAAACTGCTTAGAAAGGGCTGTAAAGTATTGTAAAGTAATATATGTGTATTGCTAAGTGCTATTGCTAACTTATTTTGTGAGTGTATCTTCAGACTTTAATCCTGAGGCTGGTATCTGAACAAATATTTGTTCTGCTTCATGACAAAATGGACCTGATTTATTGGATGTGCCAAATCTATTAGAATAAAGCGTGATATCTCCTGAAAAGTAGTAAAACTTGTATTGTTAAACATTATTATACCTATAGGAAGATTCATCTGCAAGTCTTTCAAAATGAATGTCTGAAGATACATTCACAAAATATTATTTTATGTTATTTGTTATTTTTCCAACAGTATCCCTCTCAGATACAAGAAAAAGAAAAATGATATATTTTTTTAAAAAGGGCAAACTGCTAAGATAATTATGGAAGGCAGGTTTACATGAACCCCCTAATAAATTTACATTTACTTTAGTTGATCTACTATTAAATGCTATATTGTTTAACACATAGTTTTTTCAGTAAATCTGAAATTTGCCTCCTGATTTCCCATTATCTCCTCCTATCTATTTTAAGTTAATGAAATAAAAATATGGCTTACAGCAGTGTTTCTTGTTGTTGTTGTTCAGTTGCTAAGTTGGGACCAACCCCATGAATTTTAGCAAGCCGGGTCCACCATTATCTCACAGAGTTTGCTCAAATTCCTGTTCATTATGTCAATGACACTACCTAAGGCTGTCATCCTCTGCTGTCCCTTTCTCCTTTTGCCTTCAATCTTTCCCAACATCAAGATCTTTTCAATTAGTCCACTCTTCTCATTTGGTAACCAAAGTATTTGAGCTTCAGATTCAGTATCTGTCCTTCCAAAGAACAATGAGGGTTGATTTCCTTTAGGATTGACTGATTTGATCTCCTTACAATCCTTACAATCCAAGAGACTTCTCCAAAATCACAAATTGAAAGCACCAATTATTTGGAGCTCTACCTTATAATTCAACTTTAACAGCCATATATTACTGCTGGAAAAGCTATAGCTTTGACTCTGCAAACCTTTGTTGGCAAAGTGATATCTATGTTTTTTAATATGCTGCCTAGGTTTTTCATAGCTTTCCTCCCAAGGAGTCTTTTAATTTCAGATGGCTGCAGTTGCCATCTGAGGTGATCTTGGAATCCAAGAAAATAAAATCTGTCTCTGCTTCCATTTCTTCCCCTTCTACTTTCAGGAGTAATGGAAGCTGATGCTATGACCTTAGCTTTTAATGTTAGTTTCACACCAACTTTTGCACTCTCCTCTTTCACCCTCATTACCCTCTTCATTTTCTGCCATTTGTGTAGGATCATCTGCATATCTGAGATTGTTGATATTTCTCCTGGCAATCTTAATTCCAGTTTGTCAGTCATTCACCCGAACATTTTGCACAGTGTACTCTGAATATAAGTTAAATAAATAGGATCACAATATATAGCCTTTTAGTACTCCTTCCCCTATTTTGAACCAATTGATTGCTGCTCTTCAAAACCCAATTTATACTTCTGGTCAGTGATTAGTTCACATGTTGTTGAAGTTTAACATTTAGGATTTTAGTGGGACCTTGCTAGCTTGTCAAATGAGCATTATTGCCTAGTAATTTGAATATTCTTTGACATTGTCCTTCTTTGGGATAGGAATGTACACTGAGCTTTTCCAATCCTATGCCCATTGTTAAGTATTCCAAATTTGTTGCAATACTGGAATGCTGGAGTGCAGGATTTTAACATCATAATCTTTTAGGATTTTAAATAGGTGAGCCGATATACTGTCATTTCCACTAGCAGTTTCCATATAGCCATCCAATTTCCATAGGTGAGAATGGGCTTGAGTCTAGCTCACATCACTTCCTAGTACATCAGCAACACCATCATCAGCATCTTATTATTATTGGTTTGTTGGACAGTCAGCCAGATGTTTAGACCATATTTTGCACTTTTATTCCCTATTAAGTCCTTCCCAATGAATGGGGGATAGGCAGATGTTGTTTGATGTTATTAAAGGTTCTGTCACAGGATTTAAGCTGTTCCATATAAGGTTGCCTTCTACTATAACTGTTGAATATAGGGATTTTGTCAATGCCAAAAGTGTTTATAATATTTTGGGTTTCTTCTTCTTCTTATTTGTACAATGAATGCAAATCATGAAACATGTATTATTTATGAAAATAATAAAATATAATTATTAACAATAAATAAATATAGATTCTAAAATGCCAGTGGTATTTTCTCCCCTTTTTTATGCAGTAACTGGCCAAAGCGACCCTGCTAACATTGCTTGTTTCCAAAGTGGTGGCACCTGTAGACCATCATGTCCATTTCCTGGTGTACAATCAGGAGACTGTGCTGGTGGTTTCGTTTGCTGTACATGGTAGGTCAACATTATATACCTGAATCTCTTATTCTGCTCTAAACAAATGCAGTAGATCAAGATTAAAAGCTATGGAAACATAAATCTAGGAAAGATAAAAATCATGAAAAATGAAAATAAAAAGTGAAAAATGATAAAAGTAAAAGAAAGGTTAAAAAAAAGAGAAAAAAAGAGAGAAATATTTAAAGAAGTAATTTTTGATATTCTTTGCAGCAGTATAAATGCAATGGTTTGAGTTGCCAATAAAACATTTTTAATTTAAATACCACTAAAATCATTTTGGATTTTTCTTTTTCTTAAGATGCATATCTCTCTGAGGTAATGGTGTTGAGGAAGTCTTTAAGAACCAAGTTATTTTCCCAGGCTCCTGAGTAGGGAGCTCTAAAGACCTTGTAGAATCTTAGCATGTCCAAATATATGTAGTCTCTTTATTATTGTTTTTTATTCTCAGTAATATAAACCACCCAGAATTGGTCTCTAGCTGGGCAGCCTTATAGCTTTACCAATACCTATATCTATACTTTACATCTACATATCAGATGAAAAAGATCAAGGCTACATATTAAGTTCCAATTAAGTGCTCATGCCCATGCACAGGAATTTACTCAACTAATGATCATTGCTATTTTGGCACTAAATAAAGATTAACAGAATTTAAGTGGTTGGTCTTAGACCACTTGTGGGATCATAATGGCTCCAGGTTGATTCCTATGCAAAAAGGGAACAGGTGATGTCATAATAATATGATGCTCTTGTTATCGCTTCCCATTCTTTTATCTCAATCCATCACAGAACATCTCCAATTAAAAACTGTATTGGCCTATTGATTCTTTCTACATTTCTGTTTAGTATTATTTTTTATTGTTTGAAAACACTTTGAAATATTATGATGAGATTTGTCCAACTTGACCATTAGGTTTTTTTCTCATACTCCCTTCTTTAGTTGTCCTGTGTGTTTTCTCAGACTTCTCTTAAAATAATTTATCAATGAATGGTTTGTCTCCTTCCGTTCCTTTATCCTTTTACTATGAAGGTTTCTTCCAGTCATCTGTATTATTTCCTGTAGTAATGGTAATTTTCTTGTATATCAGAACATATTCTGAACAAATGCAGCTTCTGGAGATGGGAAAAAAGCAGGACTGTCAAACTCGCAGCCCACAGGTCGGATGCATCATGCGCTGGCCATGTCCATGCCCAGTTTAGCAAAGGGGGATACGTCACATGATGCTGCCATGATGACACAAGTTTGACATGCCTGCCATAAGATATATAAGAAATGAAAAATATACAATAAGTTAATAACTCTAGAACAATATACTTGTTGTGGTCCGCTGGCAGCCGGTGGGGCTGGCAGCAGAGTTGGACAATGAGGAGGTTGGGGAGGAACATGGGCCAGTCCTGGAATCTGGGGAAGGCTTGGATGAGGGCTCTGCATTGGAGGCAGAGAGGGGGGCAGAGCCATCTGGGAATTATGTGTTGCCTCTGGAGCCTCTGCAATCTGACATCAGCGAGGCAGAAGAACAGTGTGTGAGCCTGTTCCCACTGTGCGCATGTGCAGAGCTTCCATAAGGAAAGAACAATTAAGACAAAAAGGGCGACTCAGGATTAAGGCTTGGAGATGATTAGCTCTTTCCAAAAGAGGAGCAAACAGACAAGCCTTTTCAGAAAGCAACTTTGTTCATTCTGATCGGTTCAAACTCTGAGAAGCTTCATTTGATTCTGTGCTCCATTTGGCCTTGCAAAACTAATTGGCAATTAGATCTCTGGTAGTGTTTCAAGGATGATAAAGAGTCCTTATCAGCATTACCTTCAAAGACTGTGGCAGACATCTGTTGGACTCTTTACAGACTATTTGTGAATCATTATGGGCTGTGAATGAACATAATCCACAGCCGTTTAAATAAAAAGAGGGTTTTCTGGACTAATCATGTGATTTATGCTTTATCAGGAAGCCTAGGTCAGAACAATACTGGTGTAGGTTTTTATAGAACATTGTCTATTATTTCAAATTTGATTTGCTGTTGATTTATGGTTCTCTCTCATTTCTAAATCTGCAATTCTTGTTTCTTTAAAAAAAAAATGTTTATAGGGCTCACCAACGTCCTGTATAAAATATCAGGAAAACTCTGAAGAGTCTGAAGAGTTCTGCAGAAGATACTGAAATAAGGTGGCTGGAAGATGTGCAGGCAATTCTCCTGAGATACAAACATTTTGATTAAATATATAATCTGGAAAAAGATAAATCTTTAACCTATTGATCTGTATATTAAAGTTCTATAATAGCAATTGGTAATTGGTAATTATTATACTCCTTTACTGCATCAAACTGGGATTAAATACTAATTAGAGAAAGTTGACCAAACTGAGATTAATAGCATGACAAATGTATAACTTCCATTTGATTAGGTGGAAATACCTAGAAATTACCTAGTATTACCTTGAGTACTGCGAGTGCTTCACACTCTTTTTATTTAACTTTGAATTGGAGATAATTTTACAAAATTTCAGATAATAAATATCTCAAATTTCTGTAAGGGAAAATGATCACTTTTGTGTGTGTGTGTGTGTGTGTTTAAGAAGAATAAGAAGAATATTTTATTTTCATTTCCATAACATATAATCACATGTATATTGTTACATAGACAATATCATGTTGTAAGAGAGGACAATATACATGTGATTATATGTTATGGAAATGAAAATAAAATATTCTTCTTAAACACACACACACACACACACAC